GTTGTGCTTTTATAAAATAAAGAAAACAAACACGATGCGCTTTCTGCCATCTCGTCTTGAACAGGAGCGCTTACAAAAATTAACTGAAACTCAGCGAATACATGCCTCACAGACATGATAAATATATCTATAGAAAGCTTTAAATTACTACTTAACGAAGTAAAACAAATAAAACAAAAACTCTTTCATTATAATCATAATCCGTAAAGATGCACTTCTCTCTAAAGGCGCGTCTGAGGAGATGGCGAGTCTGGATCGGCAACTTCATCCTTGTGACACTGACTCAGAAAACGCTAGTTTATTAGTAAATAATTCAAATATCTCCTTATTATTTCCCCCTGACACATTCATGGTAATTACTTTAGCCGGTGCTTTGCGGCAAGCTTAAGAGCTATTGTGTGCATTTGAACGCAGAACTGTTCAGCTGCGCTGACGGCACGCTCGCTGCTGCTGGACACTAAACACCGTCGAGCCGCTCTTGAGTCGCAGTAGCACTGTCTCGTGTTGTTTCCACCAGCGTGTCAAATTTTTATTTTTTTTTCATCACTAATTGATGGATGTCTAAAATATAAAAATAAGGAGAAGCCTAAAACAAGCTCGATGCCCGGCCCGCATCTTAACTATGACGTGAAAATTGTCCCGAAGCCTGGCCCTAGGGGCGTAAAAAAGTTGAAATGCAGGGTTCTAGGTCAGGCAAAAGGAAACACCCATACTATGCAGCAATCATCCTTAATTGCAGAAAAGTGGCAAAACATCTCTGGAGTGAACCTCAGATTATTAAATTCGAAAGTGCTTTCCATATTTGTATCAACATTGGCTACATTTGTGAACGCACATTTTCTGCAATGTCACGCGTCAAGTGCACCTCCGTGCGCGTCTTATAGACTGCAATTTACAATCGCAACTTTATTGTACTGTTACTCCTTTTGAGCCGAATTTCACAAAATTGGTCAGCTCCCGACAGCATCAGGTGTTTTATTAATGGTGAGTATAATTATTTATTTCAATGAATGTAATCAATTAGATATAATATTTATGCTATAATAGACTATTATAAATCTGGTTGGTTTGTATTGGTGACATAATATGTAAATTATATGCGTGCGGCCAGTGAGACTTGCACTTGGACCATAGTGCGGCCCAGTGGGAAAAAAGGTTGAGAACCTCTGGTTTAATGTAACAGCACAGAGCTGTGGGAATGATCTCCAAAAAAAACACAGGCACCCTGAGTCACACAGTCTGTTGCACAAGACACGAGAAAAAAATGTAACACAGCATAGAGAATCGCTATGATATTCTGCGTTACTCTTGAAGGGCGTGAGAGGAACTGCTTGTGTTTGGTCCAGATCTTAATATATATACGACCAGTCACTATATCAAAACACAATGTCATTCTCATGCCAGTTCACACCCAACCACACACGCACGCACACACACACACACACACACACGTCTGGTTTGCTATCCTTGTGGAGACTCTCCATAGGCGTAATGGTTTTTATACTGTACAGACCGTATATTCTATTGCCCTACACCAACCCTACCCCTTACAGGAAACTTTGTAAATTTTTAGATTTTCAAAAAACTTCATTCTGTGTGATTTATTAGCTTGTTTACCCGTGGGGACCTCAATTTAGGTCCCCACCGTGACACGAGTCCCCATGAGTCTGTGTGTATTCAGGTTTAAGTCCCCACCAGAATAGAAAAACACGTACACTCACACACACACACACACGCTCTCTCACACACACACACACACACACACACGCTCAGACACTCACAGACACATGCACACACTCTCTCTCACACACACACAGACACTCACACACACACACTCTCTCTCACACACACATACAGATGCACAGTTTAGTTTAATGCAGAGGGAAGCTACTAGTCTTAAGGTAGTCTCACCATGGCAATGAAGCGGCCAATGAAGCGGAAGTAGGTGAGGTGGTCGGGGTTGATGGAAGAAGCAGGGTTAATCTGCAGACAGTAGTTGTTTTTCCCGGCATACTCAAACAGACAGTACATGGGGTTCAACACCTCATGAGACAGCAGGAAAAACCACTCCCTACAGACAGAAATACAAAACATAACATTACAACACCAGCTAAAGATGACCATACATTCACTTAAATATTCCTGTGTTGGCACATTACGCAAAAATAAAAATAGTTTGGGGAATTCGTTGAAAACTTCCAAATCAGTATGTAGTTTATTAGTATAAATTAGGAATGATTTCTGAAAGTAATGAACAGATGTCTACACTAGAGGGAACATTTCATTTTTTGAGGCCTGACAGAAGCCTGTTTCTTTACAAAAGACACAACTACTTATGAGAGTAATGGGAAAGAACAGAAAACTCACATAACTTGTTAACAACAGCAAAGGAAATACCAATTCAGAAATATTTCATTTACATTGTAACAACTTTCTCTTCATTTATTTTTTTTAAATATTATTTCCCACATTTTAGAAGAGCAGTAAAGTCATAAAAACGATGAAATAACCCACATGCAGCTCTACATACTACATACTCTGTGCATTCTGTCAATCAACTTCATGAGATGCATCCTGGTAAGCTTTTAATACACAGTATGTTATGTTAAAATCTATGTATGCTGGACACATTTTGGCTGCCTTTCCTTCACTATTCACTCCAACTCATTAATTAAAAAACAGTTATGTTTTTACCAATTTCAGTTTTGCAAAGAAAGGCACAATCATTCTGTGAGCCACTTGTGAGGGACGCTAACAAAATCAAATGAAAACAAATTTACAGAAAAATAAAAAAACACAAATGTGACCCTGGAGCACTAAAGCAGTCATAAGTAGTACAGGCATATGTGTAGCAATAGCCAAACAATACATTGTATGGGTCAAAATGATCCATTTTTCTTTTATGCCAAAAATCATTAGGATATTAAGTAAAGATCATGTTCCATGAAGATATTTTGTACATTTCCTACCGTAAGTATATCAAAACTTAATTTTTGATTAGTAATATGCATTGCTAAGAACTTAATTTGGATCAATTTAAAGGTGATTTTCTCAATATTTGTATTTTTTTGCACCTTCAGATTCCAGATTTTCAAATTGTCCAATCCTAACAAACCATACTTCAATGGAAAGCTTATTTATTCACAATTTAAAAATGTTTAAAAAATTGACCATTATGACCAGGGTTCCAGGGTCACAAGGGAACATTTTGTAGAAAACGAATTTGAATCAAAACATTTATTAAAAATGACAAACAAATGAAACACAATTTGATGTACTACTTCTACTTTATAAGAATTAAAGAAATTCCCAGACAAGAAAATGCCACCAAAAGTGAAGTTTCAGCTTATTTTGTATGTAAAGAACAGTGCAGGTGCAACATAAAGTGATGAAGATGAAGGCAGCACAAACACACATTAAATCATGAGCAGTACAACAGAACCCAAGCCCTGACCTTTGACCCCGGGGGTGTTTGGATAGAAGCTTTAGGGGCAAAGGATGATTGGGGGAGGGGGTGGTTTGGTCGACGCAGACACCTCCAGACATCCGGTCCGTGGTTCTACCCTGTGGTAGAACAGCATGACGTAACCTACCATAGGGTAAAACCACTGACAGGACACAGGAGACAGACACAGACACAGGAAGACAACTACGAGGTCCAGACACCAACGAGCAAAGTTACACCACAGCCACCCCGAAATCAGAAACACTGACGCCACAGGAGCTCATACTGAACTTGCCTGGCTATTCCTCCGTAATCCAGTCCCTCCTCTCCTCTCATGATGATGTAGAGCCTCCGGCGGAGGTCATACGGCTTCATGTTCATGATCTGAGAGGAAACACCATGACATTCTCATTATAAAGGGTGTCAGCAAAAAGAAAATGTGAAAACGTGCTTTAGAAATGCTGCTTGTCCACCTCAGGAGGTCAAAATAAAATTATATTATCCTTAAAGGGATAGTTCACCAAAAAATGAAAATGTTGTCATTAATTACTCATGTTGGAATGTCGTTCCAAACCCGTAAGACCTTCGTTCATCATCAGAACACAAATTAAGATATTTTTGATGAAATCCGAGAGCTCTCTGACCCTTTATAGACAGCGTGTGCTGAACGTAAACAACGCCAATTATATTGATTATGTTCTGGGGTACTCTCCAAAATGGCGTTATGTTATTATGGTTTTCTTTGCCCACAAAAAGTATTCGCATAGCTTCGTAAAATTACATTTTTGGGTGAACTATCCTTTTAAGGCCTCTTCACACCAAGAATTTAAAAAAAATTTGCAAAATTGCGAAATTCAGTCATAAAAATGGGATTTACTGTATAACTCTGAATGTAATTTTTTTTCTTTTAATAAATTGATGTTAAATTGTGTAAATTTCATGATTTCAATTAATTAAATGTTTTTTTGATTAATACAATTTAATTTAACCATTAAAACAGAGTCTAGAAAAAAAATTAACGGAGCAAAACAGAATCCAGAAAAACGAAAATGGAAAAAACTAATTTGAAAAGAAGAAAAAAAAAACGGATTTTCAGATCACTTTAACTACAACTATACTAGCATCCACACCAGCGGACAACGATCTTTTTTTTCTAAGCGCGCAGTGCAGTTTTGTCATCTGCTGCTTCAATCGCTCAAGCTCTTTAACGTCGTGTGGATGTTTTATCACTCATCAGCTGCATATAAAAGCTTTGAAAGTGATTCTAATGATATTGTTCCTCTGTGGCATTACTGTTATAGTCGTGGTGTGGACTTCCCTGTTCTCATAGAATTAGAATGATTATGAAAACTTATAGTTATCATCCTGGCCTTAAATGAAGACCTCCATAATTTGGGGACCAATTTGGTTTGTCATTATACCCACCTGCTGAAATGAGTCCTCAAAGAGAGTCTGTCGGGATACGGAGATCTTCACGTGACTGGGTAGTGCGTTGGACTGCGTAGAGAGAGAAGAAACAGCAGGCCATACATTAACTTGCTGATGCTAAATGACAAAAATGTTGCACTAGATCAAGACCTAGAGCGACCTGAACAACTCACATGACACAAGAAGCGGAACTGGTGATATTTCCACCTGAAGCTGCGGTCGTACGCACCCGGAGAGCCTCCCTGTCTTGAGCTAAACAGCAAACAAAGCACCGTGAGAGCATTCAGATGCCATTTATTCCAGGAGTGTGGCGCCTCAGACGTGATCAACATGAGCCAAGTTTACAAGCGGCAGAATAAAGTCACCGCTTCCACAAACAGGTCACAGTGACACATCAGTGAGGATTCAGATCAGAGAAAGCTTTGTAATTTACAGGTCGTCTTACATTTACATTTAGTCATTTAGCAGACGCTTTTATCCAAAGCGACTTACAAATGAGGACAATGAAAGCAATCAAAATCAACAAAAGAGCAATGATATGCAAGTGCTATAACAAGTCTCAGTTAGCTTAACACAGCCCACGTGGCAAGGTTTTTTTTATTACATAATAAATAAAAACAGAGAGAATAGAAAAAGAATAGAACAAGCTAGTGTTAGAGGCCTTTTTTGCTTTTGTTAATTGTATAATAAATAAAAAGAAAACAAATAGATAGAATACACAAAGATTAGAGAAGCTAGTGTTTTTTTCAATCTGGTGTTGAGCTGGTGTTAACAAGCACAAGACAGTTCACTTTAGAAAGAGGGAAACTCTGAGGAACGAGACATCTACGACAACAAAAAGATGTATGAGAGAAACAATGGAGAGAAACAAGTAAAGAAAAAATAACTCTAATATTCTGAGAGGATATAACATATAAACAAATTATACATGACCAGTCAAAAGTTTGGAATATTTAGGATTATTTGATGTTTTTAACGAAGTCTCTTCTGCTCACCAATGCTGCATTTATTTGATCAAGAATACAGTAATATTGTGAAACATTATTACTATTCAAAATGAAATGTTTTCTATTTTAAAATATAATTTATTGCTGTAATGGCAAAGATGAGTTGTCCGTGTCACATGATCCTTCAGAAATCTTTCTAATATGCTGATTTGCTCATTATTATTGTAAATGTATTATCAGTTTTTTTTTGTTTTTGTTTTGCTGCTTAATGTTTTTGTGGAAACCCTGACAAAGTTCAGAAGAACAGCACTTATTTGAAATAGAAATCATTTGTAACATTATAAATGTCTTTACTATCACTTTTAATCAATTAAATGCATCATCGCTGAATAAAAGTATTCATTTATTTCCTTTTTTTTATAACCCCAAAAAGTTCTCGAGCAGCAAATCAGCATATTAGAATGATTTCTGAAGGGTCATGTGACACTGAAAATAAAACAAAATCAGCTTTGCATCACAGGAATAAATTACAATGTAAAATATTTTAAAATAGAATATGGTTATTTTAAATTCTAAAAATATTTCACAATTTTACTGTATTTACTGTATATTTGATCAAACAAATGCAGCCATGGTGTGCATAAGATAAAAAAAACATCGTAATTAATCCAAACTGGGAATAATGACCGGTAGAGTATGTATATATATATATATGAAACTGAATCTTTATCATGAATCATACACCTACACTGCATCGACCATCAGCTGTCTAGGTACTGGGAAACCCATGTGTGTGGGTTTGAACCGTCCACAGACTGGAGAGCTGCTGTGAACCTGTTACCATCAGCTGCTTGATCTACAGTCTCCGGCCTTCACATACAATCAGAGCATGCAGTCTGAGCTACAGCGTGTGCGATCTTTACCCTGACTCAAAGCCTGGCCGGGGGTCTTTAAAGGTGGTGGTGCGAGAATTGTGGTCCACAAAGTATCGCACCCCCTCTGCCGTGTACTTCATCTCCCAGCCGGGCGGCAGGGGCGGCTCCTGGATCATCCTGCAAACGGAGGAGGGCAGTGAGAGCAGCGCACCCTGCTGGACGCTTAACACTACATAACATGACCGTGCCTCAGGAAAGTCTAAGACGCTATGAACAAACAAACAATGTAAAAATAAAAATGAGCAAACAAAGAATGTTTTGCAGCTTCAGGGGATGAGTGTGTGCTATTCGTTTTGGTTGAGCAGGCAGCTACCTTAAAAATAACGCAGCTTTCCCAGCAGTTTTACAGACAGAGCTAGACATTAGGCTTGGCACCGCCCCCCAACGCCGTTTAGATTTTTTATAGTAATAAATCATTAAAAATAATTTTGTTCAGTTAGAGAACAGACAATACAATTAAAAACTGAACGCGTGTAACAGATCAGCAGCAGGAGTCAAGTTTCATTTATCTCGTGAGGAGAGTGAGATAAAAAAGACAAGGCGATGGTGGAAGATTTAGTTTCGAAACGAAATGCAAAAGCGCTTATTTTGAAATTATTCTGGATTTTGTAAAACCTGTTGGCTTTTGCCGTTTATCTAAGGTGATTTTGAAAGATTTTTTTTTTTTTTTAACATTCGTATCTTATTTAAATTCTACTGTGTTTGCTGATTTTCTGGTTTTTTTCATATTTAAACTTTGTGTAGGTTATATGTTGTTTTTAGTGCTGTCAAACGATTAATCGCATACAAAATAAATGCATGTGTATATTTATTATGTATATATAAATACACACACATGCAAGAAAAATAGGTTATTTTTATATATTAAATATATTTATTTATAATATAAATTATATCAATATAAATATAGACATATAAATACATGTAAATATTTTCAATATATATACTGTATGTGTGTGTATTTATATATACACAGAACACACGCATATACTATACAAACAAAAACTTTTATTTTGGATGCGATTAATCTCGATTAATCGTTTGACAGCACTAGTTATTTTATATTTGGCCTATAGCATGGTGTATTTTTATTCGTTTGGTTAGATAAATTCAACATTCTATGTTTAATATAAGCGAGTTGTTGTCTATTCTATCAATTGATGCAGAATTGCCGCTAATTCGAAAGTGAGAGTAAAATGCGCACGGGCGTTTACAAGCTATTTAAAAGCGAAGAAAAGCGAGGGAAAAATCAAACGAACTGCCCCCTCCCTCCCCTGGTGATACCGGTATTACTGCTGTTGTCACATGGTGATTATCCGGTGGGAAGATTTCCTCACCGTCACAAATACACACTGCATGGCAAAAAAACTCCCTCTTAGACAGGAAGTGGCCCTCTGACTGACATAATATTTCTTACGCGATAACAAGGGAACAAGCGACATATGCTTGTGGATATCCAGTGACTATATTCTGACTTCCTCAGAAGCGCATATTTCGACAGCAAACAGGACTTGGTTTCCAAGCGGGCGGTGAACACACATCCTGGGATAGCAGGCCCATCAGCCAATCAGATTAAAGCTGCCAATTTTAGTCAACTCTCGCCCGCTTTTCTGTCAAGTTGCACTGCAGCTGTTTTTGGCACATTACATGGCATGACATTATTCAGCGCCAGTTGAAAATAAAATTCAACATCTGAGAAACGTCAGACGAAAAGCGCTGTTTGACTTGAGTCACATAATGCATGTAGCTTTAAAGTGGTCAGTTACCTTTTCATTAGTAACTTATATTGGTGCCAACTATATTTTCAAAAGTGTAGCTCAACTGGAGCGCAAGTATGAGCAGCTCATAGCTTCGCACTTTCAAAGTAGCTTCCCCAACACTGGTAAATTGACGCTTAAAGAAGACACACAATCTGCAGATGATTTGCTGTGGACCGCATGGGTCATGTGACTGGAGGACATGATTACCCTTGGGTTCGAGGGTCCTCCCACTGCGTCGTTCGCGTGTTGTGATTGACATAGTACACTCTTCCGTTGTCCTGACGTTTCTCTGAGGGAAAGAAATTAAATTTAGTAACATTGTATTTTAAAGGGTTAGTTCACCCAAAAATGAAAATTAGGTTGCGTTTTACTCACTCCCGAGTCATCCTAGGTGTATATGACTTTCTTCTTTCAGACGAATCCAGTTGGAGTTATATTAAAAATTGTCTTTGATCTTTCAAGCTCTATCATTGCAGTCAGCGGGTGTTGCAGTGCTTCAGTCCAAAAGTAGTTAAATAAAAAGCGCCCACCCATTAAAAAAAAGTGTCTCTCACAGCTCCGGGGGGTGAACAAAGGCCTTCTGTAGTGAATTGATGCATTTTTGTAAGAAAAATATCCAAATTTAAATTGTGATAATCACTTTAATGTAGCTTGCACCAACAGTTGTACACGGAAGCAGCTTCGGGCTGATGACATATGAGGTCAGCATTGCGCATGTGCCGGTAAGTCTCGTGAAAACCAACGTTTGTTTACATGAGCAAAGGAAGCAAAGTTTCCTTACTTTAGCAAAGGAAAACCAGTCTCCTCTTGGCTTATATCGAAATCCTCCGACATTCTTCTTTACAAATCCTCGTTTTGTACTTCTAATAAGTGACTGGTGTTTTGTTTTCAAAACAAAACATATGCTGATTATATGCTGAAAATATGCTGATTTGCTGCTCACTTCTGAGCAGCGCATGCGCAAAGCTGACCTCATACGTCATCCTCCCGGAGCTGCTTCCGTTTACAACAGTGAGCGCAAGCTAGATTAAATTGATTATTACATTTTGAACATAGATATTTTTCTTACAAAAACGCATCGATTCGCTACAGGAGGCCTTTGTTCACCCCCCGGAGCAGTTTGAGACACTTTTTTTTAATGGATGGGTGCTTTTTATTTAACTTCTTTTGGACTGAAGCACTGCAACACCCGCTGACTGCAATGATAGAGCTTGAAAGATCAAAGACTATTTTTAATATAACTCCGACTGGATTCGTCTGAAAGAAGAAAGTCATATACACCTAGGATGCCTCGGAGGTGAGTAAAACGCAGCCTAATTTTAATTTTTGGGTGAACTAACCCTTTAAGCTAAACAGGGTAACGCTTACAATTTTGACAGCATTTATTAATGCAAGTTAATAAAAATACAGTTGTTCATTGTTCATGTTAGTTCAGAGTGCATTAACTACTGTTAACAGATACAACTTCTGACTTTAAACATGGAAAATTAACATTTACTAAAATTAATAAATGCTGTAGAAATATTGTTCGTTGTTATTTTGTTTTAACAAATGTAGTTAGCTCATTTTAACTAATGAAAACTTGTTTGTTGTTTTAGTCAAAGCCCAAAACAAAGATTAAAATGCTTTTTTGCACACAGTGGTTATGCAATAAATATGCATTAGATAAAACTTTACTTGCAAACACTGTTGCTTCCTGATAAATGTACAGTAATGGTGTTATTGGGTGCTACAGTTTAGAGAAGATAAATTTTCAGCATTCATATTAAACCAAAAAATCAATCGCTGTCATTATTTACTCATTACAACACATACAGCCAAACCAAAATGTATTCAGACATTTATTCAGATATTATTTCTCACATTATCATAGTTTATTCGTTGTAGTTTAGAAAATGGTAATGAAATATGACAAGAACTCAGAGTTGAACTGTGTCAAGAACAAATTCATCTTGATAATGTCAGATAACTTTGATAGAAAGGTGTGTCATGAATTCTGTTGAATAGCTGTCAGCTGTTAAATTTAAGAACACAATTAGATAAAACCAATTTAGCTCAACCAATTACCAAGCAATGCTTCATTCTGTTCAGTCTGTGGTATAAAAAGGTCGCATTAGCAATTAAAGAGAAAACACTGAAGCAAAACATGCTCAGCTCAAAGCGTCTGAATAATTTTTGCTCCCAAATTTTACTGGTAGTCTACTGTATGAAGAATTTTTGGGTATAATTTGTCACAGTTTACTTTATTTTGCTATCATCACTTACATAAATGAACTATAGTGTCCTGCACCCACTAGTAAAAAAAATATATCTGGTGTCTGAATCATTTTTGGTTTGACTATCATTCTTACGTTATATGTTTTCTTTTTAATAAATTTACTGTAGTGCTCTTTTCTAAGTTTAACTTGTTATTCACCTTTTTCTTCCCCATTTGGACGGATTGGGCGAATACTCTTTTACATATTGAAAAACATCAAATTTAAAATGATCCTTTTACTCTCTCTACAGGCCGATGGCTACAAGAGTGTCAAATCTGACTGAAAACTGACGAGTCAGTGGGGTATCTCACCAGGCATACCTTCTCCAACTTCACTTTTCAGATTTTCAACTGGGTTTAACAGACAGAAAGAAACCTTAACGATTTAAAGATTGAAAAAGAAAAGAGAAAATCTGCTGGCCAATTGCTTTTTCACAGGGACAGACGCAAGAACCCCCTCATTGACTCCACGACTAACATCTTGTTTTCATTAAGAGTCGTTAGTGGAGCACACAGTAGCCCTCACATTACTGCTCACACAACACTCTCTTTTTCAGATTTCCCCCCTCCTTTTTAACCCTCTCATCGCAGAGATTCCTCAGCAATGTTACATCGCTGAACTCACAAAAGAAAACCTTCACCGTTTTTAAAATTGAAACACAAATTCTCTTTAACCAATATTAGTTTTGTTTTTTATGGAAACACAGTTTATTTTTAAGCATCCAATGAAAAATATTAAGGTGTGGTTTTAAATAGTTGACAGTAAAAACACACTTTTAATAATTATTACATGCCTGCCTATACTGAAACAAAAGTTTCTGTGCTTTTGACCAACCAATTTCTAACACCTTTCGTATCACTCCAGAGCCCCAAGCAATGATTTCAGCTCCAAACTATATGTCATGGCTATTTATGTATTTTTTTAATAATCAGGATAATGATCAGGCAGATTCTGCTTCACTTTGGGGTCCTGATCACCCCTGTTTTATTTATTTTGCTGCTGAGTGTATGTTAACCCTAAATACCACACGTATGTGGGTCAAAGATGAAAAAGGGTTTAAGCATAAAAATAATAAGTGTAATACTACTTTAAATTGTTGTTGTTTTCCCCCCAAAAAAGTCAAACATTTTCTGTTTAATTTAATTGCAATTTTGTTTTTGTTTTTCTGAGCAAAAAATAAATATCATACATTTTTCCTTGATTTACTAACTAATTACAACTAATTAGTTGTAATTTAAAAATGTTTTAATTTGCCAGTATCCTAGGTTTTGCCCATTTGTCAGTAAGAATTTTTTACTCATTTAAAACGCAAATCAAATTTAATATGCTCCCTTATTCTTTTATATATTTTAATATATACACATCAGAATAAGCATGTTGTTTGAATTTTTATGTAAATATTGTGTTACACTGAATGACAATGTGACATTATTTCAACCAAATTTTGACATTTTTTTCTCCAAAAACATATTTGAAACCTTAAAAGTAGACACTTTACTTACATTTAATGTGCTTTCTATGGACATAAAATCAATTTTGTAAATGTATTTTGATGCGGACATCTTAATGTCTTTGACCGAAGTGCATAGCTGCTTTGTGAGCAAAATAAATGGTTGGATATTTATTCTCATCTCTGTTTTGGCCTATATTCAACTCCTATTGACCATGCGGTTTCGGCCGGGTGCTACATTTATTTTAGAGACCCACTAAAATTTACTATACATCAGTAGATGACGCAGTACTAACGTTATAAATATTAAAGTAGAAAAGCATGAATGTTTCAGCCAACTTCGGCCTCCCCGTTTACAGGCCGCTCTCTACTCCTAAAGCTCACGGTGAGCTCAGTAAAGACACCTGACCTGAAGATAAACGTGAAGGAGGACTTACCCCAGCCTGGAGGAAGAGCCCCGAGCGGGTCATTCTCCACCGTACCTCCGGACGACTGTGACAGACAAACAGAGACACACACAGACTGCAGTTAGGACTTGAGCTTCTCAAGCTTTTCAGCAGAACCTGCTCAAATAAACTACCAACCCAAAAAGCAGCAGGACCATACAAACTCCAGCCGCACTGCAATAAACCCTGTTTCTGAAGCCAGCAGCTCACAGAGTTTGCCTCGCGCTCTCAGAACGAAGGTGTTGGAGAGCCTAGCCAGTGCTGTCCAAATACTACATGCCTGCTATGGGCAGAACACACACACACACACACACACACACACAGTGTTCCAGTGATCTCACTGGCTGCGAGAAAGCCCCACCCTGTCTCCATCCGCCCAATCCCGACCCCACCCACGCCTCCGTCCTCTTCTAGCAGAGCTGTGAAAGTACACAGGGAGGCGCGATGTCTGAGCGGACTGAAGCGGACATTCATGAGCGCTCCAGATGGCCCAGCCCCCCACCGGACAAAAGCACCTTTATTCCCCACCATGGCTGTGTTTACTCTGTGTGTCAGAGTGTGTGTGTGTGTGTGTGTGTGTGTGCGTGCGTGTGTGTGCGTGTGTGTGTGTGTGTGTGTGAGAGAGTGTGTGTGAGTGTGAGAGTGTGAGAGTGTGTGTGAGTGTGAGTGTCTGTGTGCACACACGCGTGTGTGTGTCTGTGTGTGTTTGGTGCACGGAAGTTTAATTTATTTGTACACCCAAATCCACCCAGTGCGTGTGCTTTAGATGGGCATAATTATATATGAAAAACAGTCAAACGCAAACTCTGTGGGCATGTTTGTGCATTTATACTCCTAAAAACAAATCTTTTTCTTAAAGATAACATTACAAAGCAAAATGAGCAGCACTACTTTAATCCATGCTGGAATATAACTACACCTTCAGAAAGGTAACAGGATTGACATTAAACCTTGAGCCAGACATCATGAAACCATGCGCTTTTTTGAGAGAGGATTCAATGCACAGATTTTCACATATTTTCACAAAGCAGTCATAAGTAGCAGGGGTATATTTGTAGCAAGAGCCAAAAATACATTGTATGGGTCAGAATTATACATTTTTCTTTTATGCCAAAAATCATTAGGATAGTAAGTAAAGATCATGTTCCATGAAGATATTTTGCAAATGCCCTACTGTAAATATATTAAAACTTAATTTCTGATTAGTAATATGCATTGCTAAAAGCTTCATTTGGACAACTTTAAAGATGATTTTCTAATTTTTTTGCACCCTCAGATTCCAGATTTTCAAATAGCTGTCTCTCAGCCACATATTGTCCTATCCTAACAAACCATACTTCAATGGAAAGCTTATTAATTCAGTATAAATCTGAATTAATATGATGTATAAATCTCAATTTCAAAAAATTTACCCTTATGACTGGTTTTGGTCCAGGGTCACAAATACACTTTTCAATTATCGATTTTATATAAACTATATTATGAAACATTTTCCCAGTGAAACATTTAAGATTGGCGTTTCTGTACGGAACAGTCTGTTTTAAAACAAGGCACATTTGTTTTTATACTTGCCTTAATCAAGTCTTAATCATCTGCATATATTTTTATCAATTTATATAATGTAATTCCATTTTCTCTCATCCACTTTGCTTGCTATTTAAAGGTGGATTGTGAAGCAATTTCTGCAGCACAAGCGTCATTAAATGGAAAAGCTCAAATAATGCCTGGCTTTCCTCATCTGCCCCATCAAGCAGGTAATCCTGCCCCAAACTCACACCACTGGTCAATGTAGAGTCACAGAGCCACAGTATTTATACTGTTTAAGGTAACTAACCCATAAAGGCTTTATTATAGTTGTCTCTGCATATTAAGCTTGCGTAAGAGGAAGAATTTTAACATCTAATCACTTCACTTTTAAAGGAAGCGTTTATGTTGTAGGAAAAAAAATAAAGATTCTCTCAAGAAAAAAAAAAGTACTAAAAACGCAATGACCACTGAAGACCATGAGTGTTTGCCATTTTCCAGTGGGCCTTTACCATGTCACTGCCTTCGTCTTAAGCTCAAGAGGCATTCCTGCGGTTGCAGCCAAGAGCTCTGACTAAGCAAACTTAAAACTGGCATCTCACAATGGCCACTTTACCATAGTTTTATCCATTTTCCAGCAAGCCATTATATCAGTGGTGCTTGTGGATGAGGCGTATCTGATATCTCACATCTGCATTTATGAAGCATTACCAGTTGTATGCCTTAGTTGGGCTAAAGAAGGTCAAAAATGAGGGGGATGTTAAAAACTACTGAGTGTGTCAGTATGCCCCACCCTCAGCTGTTTCTATGACTAAAAAAGGTAGGAAAAAAATTAAAGAAAACCATGACATCATCTTCACTCCTTCCGCACAGCCATTAGACCCAGACCAAGCCTCAAAGAAACCGAGAGAGAAGAAGAGAAAAATAAAGGCTTAAGAGAGAATACATTAAAAACACAGAGAGAGACAAAAGAAAACGGAATCGCTTACGAAGACATAGAAGACTCGATTGTCCATATAACTGGCCACAGAATAAAAACTTTCCTTGCTCTTAAAGGAACAGTTCATGCCAAAATTAATTCTGCCATGAGTCAGGACGCACCATATTTAATGTTTGACAGGAATGAAGACAGAAGTACAGCGCGTTCAATGGATTGTACTGTTATTGGACTAAACTGAATTATCAGTAAAGTAAACTGAGCTGAATAATTACACTATTGTCTTTTTAATTTTTAATGTTTTTTAAAGAAGTTCCTTATGCTCATCAAGACTGTATCTATTTGATTAAAAATACAGAAAAAACTGTCATTTTGTGAAATATTATTATTATATTATAAAACAACAGTTTCCTATTTTAATATACTTTGAAATGTAATTTATTTCTGTGATCAAAGCTGTATTTTCAGCATCATTACTCCAGTCTTCAGCGTCACATGATCCTTCAGAAATCACTCTGATATGCTGATTTATTATCAGTGCTGGAAACAGTTATAAAAATATAACTGAATATAACAAAATATGAAGTGCTGCTTCATATATTTTTTGGGAGCTGTGATACTTTTTTCAGGATTCTTTGATAAATAAAAAGTTAAAAAGAACAGTGTTTATTCAAAAAAGACATTTTGTGTCAATATATACACTACTATTCAAACGTTTGGAGTCAGTAAATGTTTTCTTTCTTTTTGTCTTTAAAGAAATTAATACTTTTATTCAGCAAGGACGTTTTAAACTGATAAAACGTAATAGTAAAGACTTATATTGTTAGAAAAGATTTCTATTTTGTATAAATGCTGTTCTTTTTAACTTTTTATTCATAAAAAAAAAGAGAGAAAAAAAAATGTATCACAGGTTCCAAAAAAAATTAAAATTAATCCACACAACAGTTTCAACATTGATAATAAATCAGCATATTAGAATGATTTCTGAAGGATCATATGACACTGAAGACTGGAGTAATGATGCTGAAAATACAGCTTTGCATAACAGAAATAAATTATATTTTAAGGTATATTAAAACAGGAAACTTATATTAGAAATTGCAATAATATTTCACAATATTGCTGTTTTTTCTGTATTTTTGATCAAATAAATACAGCCTTGATGAGCATAAGAGACTCCATTAAAAATATTAAAAATCTTGCAGACAGTAAAATTGTCAGATTACCTTTTCCCGTCATTGCTTCCTAAAAAAATAAAGTACAGATTAACAGCAGTCAAGCTCCAAAAAGCAAAACAATAGTCCTTGTACTCTATACGCAATATCTTACAGTAGCTTTTAACAGACCCAAATTAAATTGATTATTCATCTTCCCCTCTACTAAAGCTAATTTTTTGGAGCTTGAAAGACACTATTACTATCTACTACTGTTGTTAGAAAAATCTGTGAGATGATTCTTATATATATGAAGAGTTCCAATGCAAAAGCCTCTAAAAGCCATCTTGGTCAAAAATGAGATATCAATACTGAGTGATTGCTCTCCACACATAGTATATGTTTATCAAGTACTTTAACTTCAAATGTGATAAATCCCAGCCTCAACCCATTCAGAAGTACCAGTACTTGCATAGAAACCTATACATAGTAGCCAGAAAGAAATGCTCATTTTAAAGAAAAACGTCAGATGTACTTAGAGGCTTTTGCATCTGAACTCTTCATATATATATACATGTAAATCAGTTTTCAGTAAGTATACGAGAACAACAGTGAGACAGTTTTTTATTTTCGCTTAGGGCCGGAAGCAGCTGTTAATGATACACGATTCTCTCAGGAGATCCTAATGAGCTGCAATTAGCACACAAAAAGCCCAGTGTGTGCTCTGTGACGTGAGCCAAGGCCAATAGAGTGAGCTGTGTTGTGTCAATGGCAGTGTCCTGAGCTCTCAAACTACTGCAGCAGGCATGTAATGTGGGAATCAGCCGTCACATTTCACCCTCACGTGAGAATTGAACCAAAGGTCTCTTAAACAAACGCAGCAAACTATCATCTAAACTTCATAACATGATCGTCTACTGCCAAATGTACACTGCAAGAATGGCACAGAAAGCAGCATCTATGTGTCTTTACACAGACTGCAACTCAGAGGCTGCACAAATGCATTTACACAGCAGATACAACTGGATACTTTGATTTTAGGGTATGAGCAAGCTTCATTTAGCCTGGCTTTTATGCAGCATTATATGCTTACAGAGATTTCTGAGCAGGCCTTAACCCTGCAGTGTAAAGATGCCTTTATGTTATTGATGTAAACTATAAATGTTACAGACATAAGGGAAGCCTCAGTTACTGCCCTACGAAATCCGTTTTATTATTTCCCAAATTTCGTTTTATTTATTTTTTTCCAAATTCCGTTTTTTTTCCGTTTTATTTATTTTTTTCCAAATTCCGTTTTCTTTTTACTGGATTCCATTTCTTTCCGTTTTCATTTTTCGAGACTCTGTTAAATTGTATTAATAAAAAAAACATGTCTAATTCATTGAAATCATTATATAGCAATTCATTAAAGTTTAACAAAAATATTTTTTT